CTGGTGAAGAATTTTAAAAGTACTATGGACGGCCAGAAGGACAAGCAAATCTGTCTTGGAAGAAGTCAGGCTGGAGTCCTTTTTAGAGGCAAGGATGATGAGACTCCGTCTCACGTATTTGGGCATGCTGTCAGGAGAGACCAGTCCCTGGAAAAGGACCTCGTGCTTGGTGAAGTGGAGGGGCAACAAAAAAGAGGAAGACCCTGATGAGCTAGATGGACATCTGCAACATGAGCTGCAACATCACAGTGGCGAGGAGGGCTCAGGGCTGGCAGTGTCTTGTTTTGTGGTACGCGGGACCGACTTGACCGCACCCAGCAGCCAGAACAGGAGTCTTTACATTAGATGTGGGGAGAAGTAAAGCTTTATTCAATCCCAGCTTATCAAAGTGAAGACAAAGTATTAAGAGCATGTGTAGTTTAAAATGAAGACGTGGAGCACTCTGGGTGGGGATGGCTGTTGGGTGAGGGCTTTGAGGAATGCGGTCTTCTTAGGTGTGGTAATGGAATGATGACTGCATGGGGGAAGGTCCTGGTCCTGGTGAATGCATCATGAAATTTTTAGGGAGGGAAGCTCATGATATCTACAATCTATTTTAGGGTGGTATGTCTCTATATGGTGCATGCATTGATATGCACATGTGTGTGTGCGCATTTTATAGGTACATATGTATTTACACACATGAACGTCTACATCTATGTATAGAAAGAGTGAGAACAAGTAAGACAAGGTGTTAACATTAGTCGATGCGTTTAGATGAGGCAGACACGGGTGTTCATTGCATGGTTCAACTTTTTTGTAAGCTTAAAAACTTTCAAAAAGTGGAATCAAATAGAAACTTAAGTCATATATGTTACCCTTCTCTTTTAAGGCCTCTAGTGGTGCTCTGTTTCCCTCAGCATAAAAGTCTACCAGGTCCTTGGTGGTTTGCCCCTGACCTGCTCTCTAATGGTCTCTCCTCCGGTTCCAGTTTCTGTAGCCAGATGGCCCAGTGTTCTGTTCTTGGAACTTGGTCCCACTCACTCCTGCCTCAGGCCCTGCTTTTTTTCATCAGAGCAGATCTCATTAGGGAGCATTGCGTCATCTATTTATTGCCTTGTGACCTATCTCCCACCCAGTACCCAGCTCAATGAGAATGGAGTCGTTGCTTCATGTACTGCTGTGTCTTCAGACCTAGGATGGTATCAAGCACAGAACAGAGAGCATCTTATTGAATGGTGAAAGTGAAAAACAAACAAACAAACAAAGAGAACTGGAGTGCTTCTTTTCAAGGACTTCCAGTCTAGAAGAGGGAGGTCTCCCAACAAAGAGATATCGTATAAAGTCCAAGGAATAGGCACGTGCTCTGGGACTCTGATTCTGGTCCAGGAACCAGGGAGGCATTAAGCTAACTCTCAAAAGATGGGCAGAATGTGGGTTGGCAGAGTTGAGATGGGAGGGCTGCAGGAACTAAGGCACAGTGATAATGCACAGGCTGGCTAGAAGGCATGGCATGCCCAGTTGGGGTCCTAGGAGAATCTAGGGGTCCTATGACATGAGGAGGAGGGATTTGAATGCCAGATTGAGGTGTTTGGACTTGACTGGTTAGAGAGGAGATTTGGTACCCATCCAATAGTCAGCCAAGGCCGTGGCTGACGGTTGAAGGCCATTGTGAGCTGGCAGAATAGGGAAGCCACAGGAGCAAACATTGAGGCCAGCGTCCTTAACGGTTCTTCCCACTTCACTGCCGTGGGTGGTAGATCCCTGGCTGGAACCAGCCCTCCCCACAATCCAATCCTCACCTTCCCTTCATGCCCATGCCTCCCAGACCCAAGCTTATTTCTCCTTCATGCTGAAGGAGATGCAGGAAGGGGACCTCCTTGTCTGCTCACTTTCCTTCTTGTTTAAAAAAATATATATTTTAGTGGGGGCTCATACAACTCTTATCGCAATCCATACATACATCAATTGTATAAAGCACATTTGTACATTTGTTACCCTCATCTTTCTCAAAAATTTGCTCTCCACTTAAGCCCTGGCATCAGCTCCTCATTTTTCCCCTCCCTCCCCGCTCCCCACTCCCCCTCGATAATTTATAAATTATTATTATTTTGTCATATCTTATACTGTCTGACGTCTCCCTTCACCCACTTTTCTGTTGTCCGTCCCCCAGGGAGGAGGTCACATGTAGATCCTTGTCATCGGTTCCCCTTCTCTCTCACTTTCCTTCTTTCTGCCGAAGGACCCTGACTTCCCCAGCAGCAACCTTCTTGTTTTTAACTGGCAGGATCTGGGTGTGCAGTCACCCACCAGGGAGTGTCTTTTCTCATCATTTTTATCCCCACACCTCCTGCTCCCACCCAGGCACAGAAATTCCTCTTGGGACTGAAGAATAATCTGCCATCCACCAAGATCTTGGATCACAAGTGGCCAGCTGCCCCTTACAAGTGTTTCAACACGGCGAATCAGGAGCTGCGGCAGCTCTTCTACCGCTG